TGGGCACTCGGGATCGTGGTTGCTCCAGGGAGCACAAGCCATGGCAGTGTCCCCTCCCTCCGGCCACATTCCCGGCTGGCAGCAGGAGCCGGAGGATCCCTGCAGAAGCGCTGGCATATGGGCAAAAGCAGCTCAGGTTTCACAGTACTGTTTATTGTTATCAGACTGCGGTGGGATACAGGCACCAAGTGCCAGGGGGAATTTTGGGATCACAGCCGTTCTAGGAAGGATCCATTTACGGTAACAGTGCTCTAGGACCCGTGAGAGAGGAGGAAAGCAATGTTCGAAAGTGCTCCCTGCAGAGCATCCCTCCCACATGGCCCTTGGCACTGTCTCTGCCCCGTTCTCCTGCAGGAATAAAGGTGGCAGGATGATCCTGTGGATATTTATTAATCAGGTGAATCAGGGAATCCCTCAGCCACTGTCCCGGAGTCCTTCATCAGTGCAGTGGAAGGGATCAACACGCTCAGACCCCCATGTCCCTGGAGGCATCATTGCTGCTGGCCGTGTTTTCTTCTGGCTCCCCAAAGACCCTCTGCAGAGATTCCCTCAGGGACCCCACGGAGCAGTTCTTCCAGCACCTCCCTACCAAGAAGTAGATGAAGGGTTTGATGGTATTACTGATGCCAGCAAGCAGGAAAAGCACGATGGTGTAGCTGAGCAGTGGCAGGAAATTCCAGAGGCTGAGGGGGAGAATGATGAGGAGAGAGAGGAAGATAACAATGTGGAAGCTTTTCGACTTGCCCTTCTCTGAGCAATATGTGTCCTGAATGCAGAGGAATGCGCTGGAAATGAGCATGAAAGGAGCAAAGAGGAGGAGGTTGAGGGCATACATGGAGATGAGAGGCACCTGGCAGAGCTCTTCATGAAACTGGCACAGAGAAACCACTGTTGGATTGAGAGTGATAACAGCAAAGAAGGCCCACGGCAGGGCACTCATCACCACGCATAGCAGGGGCTCGGGAAAGAAACAGCAGCAGTAGCAGAACAAACTCAAGGCTACAGACCCTAACCCTGTGATGTTCATGAACACATGGTGCTGCCCCAACCTGGAGCACAAGAGCGACAGCTGGAAATGGAAGCTCAAGTACCCCAGGGGCACAAGAGCAGAGCAGGACACATCCTCTAAAGGAGGAGCAGTGTGGACGGGAGCATGAGGAGGAGAAAGAGGAAGTCGGCGACAGCCAGGGCTGAGGATACAGTCGGTGGGGAAGCTGATGTCGAGGATGCAGAACACAGCCCCGTTCCCAGGCAGCCCACAGAGGCAGATGAGCAGTGCCACACTGTGTATGGCCACGTTGGTGACATCTATCTCACAGAGATTGTCCCCTTCAGTGGGTGAGGCAGGAGATGGGAACACGGTGGTCACCTCCATGGATGGACACTGGGCAGGCAGTGGGATGTGGTCCCTGGCTGTGGTCAGAGTGGATGGCAGTCAGTGCTTGGAGAATCCCGGGATGGATCACACAGCTCCTCAGCAGCTCCCTGCAGTGGGAAGGATTGAGTGGGGAGGAGTGAGATGTGCAGGGGAGGAG